GCGGAGGGGCGGGTGCCTCCCGGCGGCAGCGGCAGATGGATCTCGGGAGGGGCGCAGGGAAGCAGACGCGTGTGGGGGAGACGGGTCCACCCCGCCGCCGCCATCCCGGGACGCGGCACAGCGGTAGGGGGGGGGGGGGGGGGCTACCCGACGGCAGCTGGGGTTTCCCACGTGCCACCGGAGGAGGCGACGTGGGGGCAGGCGTTCCTTTTGTTGTGCTCACCTCTCTGACCCCTATTTCCCTGACAAGTAGCAAGCAATGGCTACCGGATGGATCTCAGTTCCTTTAATTTCCATCATTATTCAGATTGGCAACTTGTGCTCCCTTGTATCTGAAACTACATAATTTAACACCCTAATTTGCAATGCCAAATTTGTGCAGTTCCAACCAACTGCGCTATCAGACCAATGCCTTCCAGTACAGCCAGCTAAAACGAGAGATTGTGCATTTCTTGTAATTACGGACACAAGCAATTCAGTTCACGTAGGAACACATCATTACAGGATCTCTAACTCATCAGCCATTGCCAATCGATCATATACATGAGCAACATAACAAGGCCTGTACCAAACCTTTTGTCCAGAAATAAAAAAATGATAACAGGTTACATTCTTCTAAAGATCTCAGTGTTAGAGATTGTACACGGAGATGAGGGACTTGATGGGAAAAACCATGAATGCCAGGAAAGACACGACGATGGAGCTGTTCACCATTTGTGGAGAAGGATTGCTCCCCCAGCTGTCGTTCTAAGTCTGTTACTCGAGCACCTGCAATACAAATCAAATAAATAATTTCAGCATTGGTCTCTCCTTGCAGAGATTCAAGAACTAATCAGTCGTAACATGTGGTGAAAGCATGTTATCCCATACAAAACAGAACAGAATGAACGAAAAGATACTAACATTTTAGCATACAGCCTGTATGAGACAAGCACACACGAAAGCTCCAGAAAGCTACTTAGGCAATGTCAAACAAAATGGTTGGACATTGACAAAATGTAATTTGTTTTGGGTAATATTTATCTCGGATTTAATAGCTGGCAGAAGGAAGAAGAAAAGAAGAACAAAATGAAGTAAGTCCAATGCTTCATGTCCTCTGCTTTGGTTTGTTGGTACAAGTGCCAATTTATGATTTGCTTGGTGCTCGCAACCAGGTCTGGTTATCTCACATCAAGAATAAAACACATGAGGTAAATACACGCAACTTAAACCGAAATGATAACTACAACCATAAGCCTAATGACTAATACAGTATCATCATGACGAAGGTGCTACCAGGAAGCACACAGCTACTAATATCTTCACAGAAAACTTTTGGCTCAATACTTAAGCTATATGATCAATGACCGATTTTAGTGTTTCGACTTCAGCACATAGTTATTTATGGCACACAATTATTCTCTTTCTCCCTGAAAGACACAGCAATAACTCTCTATTGCAACTTATCAATAGATAACTCTTTCATTGTCTATCATGTATGATGTTTGAAGAGCACTAAACAATCAACCCAACTACCAATAAAGAGCAACTAACAACCTCAAGGCTTAATTCACGCCTACCAAATTCCAGTGCAAGCTGGAACAATCAGAATAACAACACATTTAGAGAATATCAAGACGATGAGAGCATAACACTATGCTACACCAACTGATATCAGAGTATCGTACTCTAAACGCTTTCTCCATCATGGTGATAAGCAATACCAACCGACCATTGAAGTGAACGTAATAGGATCAGTCCTCTCACCAGTACGGGTAACCAAGTCAAAGATGTTGTGTTCAACAATTACCCTTCCGCGGCCTATGATGAATATCCCTGCTCTTCATTTTGGTAATAAATTCCTCGGCTTTCACAGAATCACCATGATTCAAATAACCCTCAATCATGCACATGTAAATTTTTATGTCAAGTGGTACTCCTCTATCAATCATCTCATTGAATTTTTCCAGAGCATCATCCATCCTGCCCATCTTGCAAAATGCAGATATGACAGTTAAATAAATGAATTCATTAGGGTTCAACCCCTTCTTCAACATGTCTTCGAAGAAAAGCATAGCCACATCCATCCTTCCATACTTAGCATATGCACTAATCAGTATGTTGAAACAATGGAGGTTGGGTACAACTCCATCTCTTGCCATCCGCTCACAGAGATCAATCATATCAATGAGGGATCCTTCTTTAGCGTACCCATGGAGCAAAACAGAGTATGAGATGACATCAGGTTTTTGGCCGTTCATGGCCATGGAATAAAAAAAAACTACAGCTTCCTTTAATCTTCCATTCTTGCAAAGGCAGGTCATGAGTGAGTTGTAGGTAACAACATCTGGTAGAACACCTTGGCTTCTCATCACTTTCAACAACCTAGCGACTTCTTTCAACTGGCCCAAAGTTGAATATCCTTGGATCAAGCAATTATATGTCACAGCATCTGGTTGGACACCATTATGAACCATTGATCGAAGAACCACCTCTGCCTTGTCCATTGCTCTTGCTTTGCACCGCGCATCAATAATGGAGTTATATGTCACCACAGTAGGCACAACCCCATGTTGTATCATTTCATGGAATAGATCGCATGCTTTGCTTATTTCACCCTCCTTGAAGAAACCATCGATTACCATGCTGTATGACACCACGCTGGGGGAGTGGCCAGATCCTTTTTCGGCCATCATCCGGAGCAGGTCAAGCGCGAGCTGGCTCCTACCACTGTCGCAGAAGCTCTTGAGAATCACTGAGTAGGAGATGACATTAGGCAGGTCGTCGGGCATCTTATGGAGCAGCACGTTCAGAGCCTCCTCTGTGCGCTTCATGTCGCAGAGGCACTTGAATAAGCTGCTGTAGGTAACGACGTCCTTCGTGATGCCTGTCTTGAGGAGGCGGCCGAAGAAGGCAGGCCAAGATCTGGGCGGCATGCTCGGTGGCAGCAGTCAATTAGTATGTTGTAGGTGTAAATGTCAGGTGCTGTCACCTGGCGACGGCCTGCTTGGGCCATGCGGTTGAAGAGATCAATGGCGAGGGCAGGGGCATTGGTGTAGATGGTGGAGGGCGGCGCACGCGAAAGGGCAGCAAATAAGCCGTTGAGTGCACGTACTGATACTGGGACTGGTTGGCGCAGCATTTCGTCGAACAGTTGGCGCGCGGGCTCTGGGCTGAGCGTCCCGGAGCCCAGACGGCCGTCGAGTTCGTTCAGCAGCTCGTAGGCGCGTGAGGAGAAGGAGCTGGAGAGAGAGCGGACCTGGAGGCGTGACATTGCCGCCCTCTAGTTCCCGCAGCGACGGTGAACGCGGGCGGCAAGGACCAAGTCCTTACTCTGGGGGGAGGAGGATCGGACGGAGGAGACGCTGGACAGAGTGGCCTCGCTGGCTTCTCCCTGCAGCGACGGTGAGCGAGGGCGCGCGCCGGCGAGGACCAACCACCGGCGGGAGGAACGCGGGCGGAGGTGTGGGATTGGGGAATTTCAGATTCGATCTGGAGTTCGGCGCCACCGCGTTTCGATCTTTACTCCCGAGAAACATGCAAGAAGTGTGATTGGCATCGTGCATTCCTAGTCCTAGATAGGGAGTGTGACTTTTCCTTCCGGGAAGCTAGAGTGGAGATAGGAGACGCTGGAACCAGTCAACCAAGGGTCCAAGGTCGTCAATTCATTTATCCATTTTTTTTAAAATAATTTGATTATATTTCAATTAATCACTTTGATTTGTAACATGAGTTTATAATAAAAGAAGAAACCCTAACATAAGTACTTCTTGTCTTTGGCGACCTTTTTTCGGCCCCGTTTGGCGGGACTTCATTGGTTTTAGTGGTTTTCGTCCTATCAAGTCTAAGGTTCGGTCTTGATTCAAACGAAGAGGCAGCAACGTTATAGTAGGGCATAATGTCCCTCTCATCCCTTATGGGTAACATTACGGTTCTATACTGACGGTGGTGTTCGATGGTTCGACTTCAGATCCATTTGGTGTTGGCATTTGAGAGCGTGTGGTAGTGATGGTGGTGTCAATGGGACGAATAAACAAATCATGAGTAGGCTTGGGACGCGGCCCTGTCGATTTTCTTCAAGAGAAGTCTCGATAGCGCTCCTCAAAGAAAGTGTATATTGCGATCCAAAAGCTTGTGAACGATTGGAAATTTGGGATTCTTCCTGTATTTGCTCGGTCCCCTTGTTCTCTCTTCCTTCGGTGGTGGCACCGTCAACTGTGAGAATAGTTTTGGAATGTCCATGGGTTCGTCGAAGGAGAAGGTTTTGCATGTTCTTCATGCCACTTCTTTGTTTGACAAAAGCTTCTCTGGACTCCTCGAGAGCATATGTATCGTTATACTAGTAGCTACTTTTTTCCTTGATGAAATTCAGATATGAGATGTCCTCTAGCCGTCTCTTTAGAAAGATAAGTACTCATATTATGTTTTAGAAAATGTGAATGGAATGGAAAGGATATATAATCAAATAGAAAACATCTGGGGTGTTCTCAACTAAGGTGTAATGCCAATGTGGATGTGTGTCAGTTATGTGGCTCATTTGCTTACTTTTAATATGAAGGGTCCCTTGTCTAGTGAATGGAGGTGGATCAGCTTAGTTTTTTCATTGATGCTGTGGCAAACTATGCTCGAGTGAAAGAAAATATTACGAAAATCCTCCATATTGTACTTAGTGTCCAAGCTGAACTTTGAGTTAAATTGACACAATTTCTAACACTATATAGTGTGATTGCATAACAAAGAAATATGTATATATTTCTATTTTCAAATACAATTAAATTGATGTTTATAATGGGGAAAATTAGTTGCTAAACTATATGTCTAAAGATGTGCCAGTAACAATGCACGCTTAAAGTCAACCGTGTTACCTATAGAAGTAAGAAAAACAAGTTTGAGTTGATGGTTTTTGACTTGGCCCAAAAGAAGGTGAAATAGGCGCAGATGTATAGGTAGTCTCATTCCTGAAGATGCAATGTTGAAGCACCGCAAGACCGTGAACCTACTCGGCACGAGGGTGCGGCCTTCATGGACGAGTGCATCGCCAAGAATTCGCATGTCCTCACCAAGAACCAGAGGTGATTTACCGTACCTCCACCCTGGACAAGTGCCCGTGCAAAACTCTGCAACTTAGCTGAACTTCATCGAGGTGCCCAAGCTGTTAGAATCGCCAAAAATGATGAAATACACTGAAAAAAATCACGAGAATACATTGGAAACTGACTGCAACTTTTACGGGGCCAGTTTTGGGCACTTCCTTGCCTTTTGGGTCTTCCTCGTGCAACCTAGCTAGAGGCCATTAGCACCATTTCATTGCTTCCTGATTGGGCCATAGGATGTCAGGTGGTGGAACATAATGCGAATCGATAGATCGATCGAACGCTCGTGGAGGTAAGGAACCTATGAGTCGCGAGAACAAAACCGGCGCTCGTGCGGCGTGATCCACACCTGTCAGACCGCCGTAGCTGCTCCGGCCGGCCTCAGAGGCAGGCTGGCCCGCTGAGGAGTGATGAATGCCGGAGAGCCAGTAACAAGATAGATGGCGCGCAATGGGAGGTCGACTCCGACGAGCAATGGACACGATCAGAAGCGCGAGGGCAAGGGCAAGACATCGACTCCTCCCGTGGGAACACCACTCCGGTCCGACGGATGGTGCCCCCTTGTTCTTGGTGCTCTAGCTAGCTAGTCGCACGAAAAAAATTGACAAGTGCCCGACCTGGGCAAGGCCGCAACCCGGAGGCCACAAGTAGCAACAAAACCATCAACAACGAGGGCTACGGATGATGTGTGACAACTACTCCCTCCGTTCGGAATTACTTGTCACGGAAATGGATGTATCTAGATGTATTTTAGTTCTAGATACATCCATATCTGAGACAAGTAATTCCGAACGGAGGGAGTAGGTGAGTTGTTCTCGATAATTTGTAGACAAACTGTGCAATTAATCGATGAGTGTGCACGACTTCAATTATGCTAGTTAAAATTTCAGAATTGAGCTGTTCTTTTATTGAAGCTAGAAGAAACATTAGTGTGTGTGTGTGTGTGTGTGTGTGTGTTGCACATGACGATTATCTAAATATCTGATATTTGTGATGTTTGGTACACCAAATTAAACTTTAGTTTGAGGATATCACTTATGGTTAGTGTTTCGGTTTGCTAGGGATTTGAGATCAATCGAAAATCAGACGATTAATCGATTTTATCGATCGACTATTGATTGGTCGGTTTTTGCTTATTATTCCCATATTCCAAGCACTAATAAGGTAGAAATAGAAATTACCATCAGTGCGTTGTAATCCATTAAATAGGACAACACTATATCAATACATAACTACATATTCCATATCAACAATATAAGTCAATGACAGATAAATAGGACAACACCACAACACATGTCCCATCGAACGGAGGATGAAGTGTGATGTGCGGCAGTATACTGAAGGGGAGGCCTTGTTTTGGAGTTTCTGACAACAGGACCGGCCCGATCAATCGCTAGATTCCTGATTAATCGCTTGTCGGAGCGGTAAATCGGCCCAAATGATAAATAGCAAAGATAAGGTATAATCTTAGCAGTCACCCAACGATAAGCGATAAATCGAATGATAAATCGATGAATCAGACGATATTTTGAACATTGCTTTACGGTGTGCACATGCTTTAACGATTCTCCAGCTCCGCCACTGCCAAGAATGAAGTTTGTCCGAGTCCAAGGAGAATGGCAGGATGTTGAACGAGCTCATGGCCAAGCCCATAGACAAGGAGGTGAAGATGTCGCCGACTCGGCCTAGCACCAATGGCGACGAGGCTGGACCCTCCGGTGGGTGGGTGTGAGGTGGGAGGCGGCTGGGGAGGGAGGGGGCTTGATCCCTATCTCATTTGACACAGACGACTTCAACGGGTACTGCGCCCATGGCGATGATGAGTAGTTTAAATTTTGTGTAGTTGTGCTATTAGTGATGAACTGTATAATTATGCTATGTATGATGTGCAATATTTGTATAATTATGCAGTCGAGTATTTTAAATTTGTGTTTGAAATTATTTTTTGTGTAATTTTTCTAGGGAGTTAAGTTGTTAGAGTTCAGCAACGAACCGTTTTTTTAACTTCTCAAATTTGAAGGGTTAGGTTTGAAGAGGTATTTGAGGGCAAATCCAAAGAGGGTCGCTGTCAGGACCCCGACTCGATGTCACATTGATCTAGCCGGTAACACCCCATATCACTTTGCGGCCTCACGCACGGTATTCCCACGGGTGTCGCCTTACCTTTGCCCGGGACCGTTTGCGCCTTTTGGCACACGTATATGACAGTGTCGCTAGCATCCATATGATAAGGAGCCCGGGCTGACATGGCTAGTCGTAAACCCAAAGTGACACAGACTTACAGGGACAGGCATCCATGACCCAGCATCGAACGTGTCGGTCATCAGCGAGTGAATCCAGGCTGTAGCACTGGGCTAGCAGGACTCCGGTGAACCGGGCTGTAGCGGGCTAACAGGACTCCGGTATTCATCGCGTGACATTTCCCCGAAGGGACAGACACAGGAACGAAGAAGGACACATGCCGGCCAGTCTAAGTGTTCCGGAGCAGTAGCAAGCTACCATGGCTCAGTGGAAACACTAGGAGACATTTCCCGGTAAGAGAGGCTACTAAGGATAAACAACTAGATAGCCAGATCCCACACATATCAAGCATTTCAATAACATACACACAATATGCTCGATATGTGCAAATACAACATGGCATCACAACATGACTCTACGACTCAAGTATTTATTCATTAGGCTCCGAGGAGCGAGACATTACAAACATGGGTCTCATGACCCAACAATCAGAGCATACAAGTCAAAGCACAAGCGGAAGCTATCATGTCTGAGTACAGACATCTATAAATGAAAAAGGCTGAGAAGCCTGACTATCTATCAGATCCTGCCGAGGGCACAAG